AACAGACACAATTGATATACAATGACGGAAGTCAGAGTGAAACGATAATTGAAGTTAAATTGAGGCATCCTGGTGAGCGGGACAGGAATGTGGTGAGTTGTCTAGTTGCACTATTTGTGTCTTAACACTCAATGACAGGTACCAGGAACGCTAATATCTCGGTTATTTCAGACGAGAAACCACCACTGGGCAATTTACGTCAATCCAGTGGGTGTTGATGCAACAGTAAAGACTAAAGCCACGAGATGTGTCGCTGGGGGATACATATGGAATCCTTACTTCACACAACTGGCGGATCCTCTGAACGTAAATCTATCAGACTAATTTTTATCAACTATTTTATATTTTATTTTATGCTTATTTTACATCGCTTCGAGTTGGATGAGACTAGGTGGCAATTAATCAGGACTTTTTAAAGCTGGTTAGATCTCACCATTCTACCCGATCAGGAATCGAACCTGGAACCTATCCGTTGTGAGGCAACGACCTTAACCACTGCGCCTATTTTTTTAGGAAGACCTCTACAGACAAGAATGTGGACCTGATCAGCCCCTCAGGTGTCACGTTGGGGATTTGTCAGCCAGGTTGGGACCCATTGATATAGGACTGGGGAGAAAAGTCTTTAGTGATGCCAATTTTCCTCTCGAGGGAGACATCTCTGCTCTCGGAAAGTCGATTGTCATTAAGGATCAGAATTTCGGGTCTCAACCGTTTGCCTGCGCCAATATCGAACCTGATTTCGATATTGTCAAGTATGCTAACATCAGGAGACCGCCCAGATTCGTCGTGTAGGTTTCTATAAATAATTATAAATAATGGAAACGTAATAAACCAGATTGCATCATAAATCACTTTTAAAAATAATCAATCCTTTTTTCCATCAGAAAACTTTATCAAATTATGAATCTACTAATTATTTACGTGGATATTTCCATTCTAATTACCTCGTGAATACAAAATGATTGATTATAAAATTCGATTTAAAGTTATTAAAATCCAAACAAAATTAATTAATTAAAATGTGATAAAAAATTATGAAAATATAATGATAAAAATGGTAATTATACCTCGAATAATTAAATCTTTGAAATTGTTTTAATTTTATATTCCAGAGCTCAATTCCTAGAAGACGTGAGACAAGTGATGGGAATCCCCGAGTGGATGCTGTCGATCGACAATAGAAAAACAAAAATCCTGCATTCAGGTGCGTGCATTCAGTTTCTCCTGCATTTTCGAGGTCCAATAGCCGGGAGAATAGAGCAGGATTTCAGTAGACTGATGTCAACTGGAAAATTAAAAGAGCCAAGTCTGTCAATTCCTGGATGGGTCCAGCCAAAACGGAAGAGCACCCTAGGTCACAGACAATGCGGAACACGTGATCCCAATGATAAATCCTTCAGAACCCCCAATTCAGCGGAAAAAATAAATTTCTCCCTCATTTTACTGCCTCTCCTCATCAATAACATTGGATTATCAATATAATTATACTTTATTTGAATAACAACTTTACAAGACTTCTTAAATTCCTCATATTTGTTAATCCAGTAATCGTGATGCCTCGAGGAAAAAATATAAGTTAAACAATGCAATCCATTCATCACATGATTCGTCGTTATATGATAACATATATTTGAGATATCTGTCTCGTCAATAGATTTATCTCAGACTGAGATTCCCTTTAATCAATTAATCTCGTCTAATTGCCACTACTTGCAATTTTCATAATTTTCTTTTTCATCAGAACGTCAAAAATTTTTAATGAATACAACGTGCGATACGTGGAGAAAACGTATAATGATTTGATTAACGAAATAGAGAACACGATGTGCGTAGAAAAAAAAAAACGACCGATCGATTGCCACCTCGAATAAGCAAAATTTGAATAAAAAATTTAATTGGATGCTGTGGCTGTGGCAGGGGCTGTGGGTGTACTGGCAGCTACAGACTCTTCAGTCACGACTCTCCTGTTCTTTTTTATTCTCTTCCATTCACCATTGGTGTAGTTCATCTGGAAGTGTGTCTCAACTAGCATTGAAACAGTTGTTCCATCCGGTTGGACGACATCCTCGACATTTTCCGAGAGCATGACAGTTACGATATTTCCAAGCTTGGGGCATGGATTTTCCCTGGAGCCAGCCATGAATCCAAGGATTAGGGCCTTCTCGGGTCGAGTGACTTTGTTCGCTGTTCTGAACATCTCCTGGGCCTCGAGCATTTGTTCTCTCGTGAGGGACAGGCCCTTTCGGGTGTTAGCAGCATTTGCAGGTGGTGGATTCGTTTGGATTCGAATTTGGGTGACTGTTTGGGCTGGTCGAACTGTCTGGACACCCACTGGTGTTGTCTCCACGGTGGTGATGGTGGGAGTCGGCACTGGAGTGCTGGGAGTTGTTGGAGTGCTTGGGGTCGTTGCTGAAAATTAAAATACGGCGTTTTAATTAAATCAGAATTAATTCCATTGTTGGAAGCTTTTTTGACAACAGCAAAAATATTTTTATAGCCAATCTTACGGGTCTGAGGAGTACTAGGAGTGCTGGGAACAGCAGCAGGTGTACTAGTAGTCGTGTACGTCTGAGTGGTGGATGTTCCCGTGATAGTGCTGGCAGTGGCTGGAGTGGCAGGTGGATTGATGGGAGCAAGACCCTGGGCGTATTCCGGTGTTGTAGATGCCTCAGCAGATGTTGGACTGGTGGTGGAGGCAGCAGCAGCTGCAGCCTGTGCCTCAGCGACTTTTTTCTGTTGCTCCTCGAGCTCCAGCATGCGCTTTCGTTTCTTCGCCTGGGCATAGCCCAGCGGCTGCTCAGTGATCTCCAGTAATTTAATTCCTCCATCCTTTCGACTTCGGCTGCTGATGGGAGTTCTCGTGTACATCGACGATGGAGTTATAGCTGGTGATCTGAATCCACTCGTTGGTACTCGGCTCGGTATTCCCTTCAGGGGAGTTGTATCTGTCATTTTTCTTGGCATTCCTCTACTTCTCACTGGTACTGTTGGTGCTGTGCTCTTCTTCAAGTTGTTAGCAGCGTCCACACTCTTCTGGAGTAATTCTGCTCGCAGTGCTGCACTCTTTGGCTTGCGCTTCAGGGTGAAGTGTTTGGTTGGGGCTGGCTGTTGGCCGACAACTGATATCAGAGCTGTTTTGTTCAAGTAGTGACACTCCAGGGGCAGCATCGCCGGGTCGTGCTGCTTCTTCAGGAGCTTTCGCAAGTCATTGACGAGCTCACCGAAAATTGGACGGTGCTCATCAAGGTCTGAGATGTCTGTGTTCAAGGATCCCGTTGAGGGAAATGTCTTCATCGCTTCGGCCAGCATCGATACCCACAGCTCGCTGTCCAGGGACGCCACCTCGATGATCTCCTCCAGCTCTCCTCGCCACTGAATTTTTTTTTTAATTATTTTTTCAATATCGATATCATTTTTTTTTCATCAGCTTCAGGTGAAAATTTGGGTAATACATGATTTATTGAGGAGATGTTGAAGACGTGAAGTTTCATCTGTTTCGTATCGATTTTTTCAACATCGTGGGAGATTTTTTAGAGAAGTAAATCAATAAATGCATAAACAATAAATAAATGATTGTTCGTCCGGGAGACATTTTTTTAGGGTTCAAATTAAGTCTATATTGATTCAAATCGCATCATTTATTCAGAAAAAATTCACGACTTAAGATTTGATCGACTTGCGAACTTTGAGTTTTAATTAAAAATCTCAGAATCTATAGGAGATAGAAAAATTTCGGTAGAACTTGAATTGTAAGTTATTCTTTGCTCTATAAAAAAGGTCCTTACAAAAATTCCATATTCCATTCGATTCTCCCAATATTCGACAAACATCAAAAGTACAAACGGAAAAAAAATGCCCATTTAACCCCCCACTTACCCACCGAAGCCCCAAACCTGAAATCGTCATTAATATTAATTTTTTCTCTTGAAATTAATTAATAATCAAGTCACGTTGGACTCGATCTTTATCCCGCCATTATCCCAGATGGCGCTGGTAAATATTTTCAAAGTATTTAAATGGAAAAACACAAACGTATGCATTGACTTCGTAACGATGCAGTGACCGGAAATTATTCAGAAATTATCGAAATACACAACTGGTCAATTGATTTATGCGATGGTGATGTGTGGTAATGAGGGTAATGTGATGAATGTGATGACTTACCTCCTCAACATTGCGCCTCGGTATGTGAAAGAATGAAAGGAGTAATTTGAGCTTGACTTGCGTTTGGAGATCTGGAAAACAGTCCTTTATGTTTCTCAAGACTTCAGCATTCAATTGCGAACAGATCGAACTTCCTGTCCAGCTGTCGTTTGACGTTCCCAACTTGTTATGAAGCCACAACGAAGTATCACTGTCCCTCACATTCGCCATATTGGAAGTTGTGCCAGTGCGCTACATCGCATTTATAGTTGATGCGTCTCGATATCTCGATGTGGTATCGATTTACCTAGGATCGATAGTCTCGGTCGATAACTTCTTGGTCGATATTCTAGATCGATTGTTAATTCGATTCAAATTCTATTTTTGAAGAGTAGGAAAACCAGTTTTTTTTAAGTTTTATAGTTGTTTCGTTTTTCATACCAATGATTGTTATTTTTTTTTTGACGAAATTTTGCAAATTTTCAGTCAAAAAATTGAAAATTCACTTTTTCAAGACACATAATTATTTCAATTGAAACTGAATTTTGAATGGATAGAAAAATCATTTATTTGATGTTCTAGTCTTTACGCGAAAGACTGTATCAATTTTTTTTCCAGAAATTTGAGAAATTTTGAGTCAAAAAATTGAAAAATCACTTTTTCAAGACACATAATTATTTCAATTCAAACTGAATTTCAAATGAATAAGAAAATCATTTTTTTTGATGTTCTAGTCTTTACGCGAAAGAATGTATCAATTTTTTTTCCAAAAATTTAAGAAATTTTGAGTCAAATAATTGAAAAATCACTTTTCAAAAACGAAAAATCTTCACGTTTCCTACAATTCTAGATCATCAACATAAAAATTCAGAAAAGAAAAAGAAAACGTGAGTTTTCTTCTTAAATTTTTATTTTGGTGTTCCTTTTAGTATTTTTTAATTCCCGTCTATTTACTCTACATGAAATTCGAAGGCTGGTTATCACCGTGCTGCCTTATCAATCAATGATTCATTGATAAGCACTCAGTGAAGGACATACCTCTAGTCGGTAAAAATATTCTAAACCCCCCGTCGATTCTGCCACCACCAACTTCGCTTGTCGATAAGTGAGATATTTCCTCCAAACAACAGAAGACGCTCAAATATTTCCTCGAAGATGGCAGACAGCGTCCTGAGCCCCTAGACTGAATCCTAAAATATTCCTCAAACAAAAAAACAAAATGCATCGAGTCCAGCACGAATGCCAGATCGACCTAAAAGCAAACGAGATATTCTTCCTTCCAAACCGGACATTCCTGCAGCGAGTGGGAAAATCCTTGCGAAAGATCTTCATGGCTTCACCCCGGAATCCGCGAGCTGTCCGCTACCTAAGAAACCAGAGTGCCATAATCTACGAGTGCCGACGGCACACGCACGACAACAAATCGATCATCCACCCCTTCAGTATCTTCCGGTGTCCGTCCTACAAAAACCTGCCAATGAATATTGAACAAGGATGACTGATTGTTTCAGGTACTGGTGGGACTTCCTAATGCTGCTGAACCTCGTCGGGAGTCTCCTTTCCATTCCCCACCAGGCGTCGTTCGATATGTCTAGGTCCCTGACCCCATCCTGGACGCTCATAAAAAATTTATCCCTCACCATTGACTGCATCGACATTCTCCTCAATTTTTCCACAGGGTAAGTAACCCAATAAATAAATAATCCGAGTTGATGACTTCATGCATAATCCAGATACTTCGCCTGGACTCGAAGAACAGTGGAGATGCGGCCCAAGATGATCGCCAAAAAGTACGTGCTAACAGGGACATTCATTCCAGATTTCCTAGGCTCGCTACCAACGGACCTGTTCTTCATCCCGACGTGGAACTCGTGGATAGTCGCCCGTGAGTTATCCAGCCTAATCCACATCTTCCGGATATTCTCAACGAGAACGTACCTGAAGAGAGTGGCAGAGGCATACGACGTGCCCCCAAGTCTCTCCAGCATCTTCACCTTCATTCCACTGTTCCTGATCAGCATCCACTGGCTGGCATGTATCAGTTGGATCATCCCAGTCGCTTGTATATCGTTGACAGCGATTGAGCACCCAGACGAGTCATCGTCTTCCTGGATATTCACCCACGGGCTTTGGAACACGGATGACCAGGTGAAGTACACATCTTCCTTGATGCGAGCAGTGACGATTCTGACGAGATCAGGATTCTTGTCGAAAGAGCCATTAGCTGATGAGGACCAGTACATCGCTATGATAATCCAAATCCTGGGAACTGTCACCCTGTGTTACGTCGTCAGCCAGGTGATGCTGATGTTCAAGGGTGGAAACAGCTCGAAGCTCAAGTACCAAGCGACAGTTGCTCAGTTGAAACAGTACATGCATCACAAGCAGCTCGAGAAGAACGTGCAGAAGCGCTTCCTTACGTACTACAAGTTTCGATATCAGCAGCACTTCTTCCGTGAATCTGAGATCCTCAATACCCTCTCGTCGCAGGTTAAACTCGAAATAGGTATGTATTTGTGCAGAAAGTTGGTGGAGAACGTGACTTTCTTCAATAATTTGCCTGTTTCGCTGCTGACGCGAATCGTTGCGCAGCTGAAGTCTGAGATATTTCTGACGAATGATGTGATTGTCAGAGCTGGACAGATTGGTGATTGCATGTATTTCATAGCAACTGGTACAGTTGCTATTTACACAGATTCTGGCAGGGAGATATGTCATCTCGAGGATGGAGCGCATTTCGGTGAAATAGCATTAGTCATGGCTGATGAGAGACGAGTGGCTAATGTCATTGCCGTGGAAACATGCGAGTTGTATAGACTCGAGAGAGCAGACTTCATCAAGACAATTCATCCGTATCCAATGCTCTGGGACAGGATAAAGAAAATAGCGATGGAGAGACACGAGAAGACAATGATACTGGATACACATTGAAGGGGAATTGGTCCCCGCCCATTTAGTTGAAACAATGGTCTTCGCTTTGCGCATCGACGCATGGGCAGAGAGGGTTGGACCATTGTAATGGGTTTGTGCGATGCGCCTGTCTGGTAGCAGCTGAACAATTCTACCGTGCGCCAGTGCCTGGAGGCGATCCATTGTTATCAGCTCAACTGTGCGGCTCCTGGATAGGGAGCGCCATTATTGAGTGTGCCACTGTCTCCGTGGCCACACCCCCGAGACACCTGTATCTTCTGCACGTTCTAGCTTCTAAGGTTACCTATCAATAAACATCTTTCAAATCTTTTGACTTGGTGTTTACCTCAAACCATGACTCTCTGATTGATGAGTCTTCAATTGAGCGGACGGATTCACCCCAAGGACGATCATCTCAGAATGATAACTCGCTTTTGAACTCAAAATTGATGATGTTAATTTGAATTTTGAAGTCTTCAATCCGCATCAACAGCAGTCCCAAATTCCGACTGTCGAAATCTCCAATTACGGAGGTCTTGAAACACCTGTATTTGTTTGGATGCAGCTCTGATTGTCGTTGATGAAATATTAGTCCAAGGGCTTGGGTCAAGCTGACTCTGTGGATTCCCTCGCCTCATCCACATCATCTGTATTTGTTGAAAGTCAATTGTTCCGGATGAGAGACGAGTGTCTCACCCGGGGAGCTATGAACAGTTCTCCTCCGGCCCTGGCAACCTTTACTTCTCCTTCCTGCACACGCGCCGGGTCGATACTCTGCGGGCTACCCGCAAAAGCCTCCCCTTCTCGCTCAAACACAAACCCCTTTCGCCCTTCTTCCCCCATACATTCATCTCCGCTCTCACCCCTTTCACCCGCAATTCACCATTCCCTTCCATCTCGCGTTCCTGTGTATGGGGTACCAACCCCCCACCATCCCCTCGGTGCATCTACCACTTCGATATGTTGTCTCACTTCCGCAGTCAATCCTTTCAGTCGTTATACGAAGTTGCGCATGTAGGTGGCCCAGTTGATTGATCATTTGTCGATAGAGTAACCAGTTTGACTTTTTTTTTTTCAGTGTGCAGTCGTTTGTGGAGGCAATTCCTCGATATGGATGGGCCGGGGGCCGAGGGCTCGCGTCAAACATGGAGTAACGGCGGCATCGATGGGCCATTATTTCATTGCCCGGAAAAAACTCTCCTTTCGACTTCCTCCTCTTCTTTCCAGCTACAGTCGTTATACAATCATCCCCCTCGTCGCAACGTCAACGATACTCGTCGATACTGGTTTCCGTTTACCATTCAGCGCTCCAGCTAAACTGCCTGCACGTACTTCCGGACCTGTACATCATTTTTCCTGGGGCTTTTTGCGGCTCTTTGGGTGGGGAACTTTTTTTGTTTTCCATTGGGGTTCATTCTCATTGTCTCCAGTCCACCAGAACCCGTCCCTTGTTTTCCGAGTGATTTTACTCTTGAGGTTATGGTTGGGACGCGCTCCTCAGTTTAGGCGCCAAATTCAAATTCAGTTAATATAAAAATCTGTTTTAGAGGTACTTTTGCAGAAAATTGGTAAGTTTTGGTCAATTATTGAAATTGTAGTGAACATTTCGAAGGTTTGGGGGACAATTAATTGTTTAGTTCTTCAATTAACAATTTTTATTGCCCTTCGATTTCATTGCGGTCTATGCGAAATGCTGCGTTTTGCCAGTATTTTTTTTTTTTGAATCATTAGTGTTTGATCACAGATGGCAGCGTTTATGCGCTCCTCAGTTTAGGCGCCAAATTCAAATTCAGTTAATATAAAAATCTGTTTTAGAAATACTCTCGCAGAAAATTGGTAAGTTTTGATGAATTATCGGAAATGTAATGACTACTTCGAAGGTTTGAGGGTCAATTTATTGTTTAGTTCTTCAATTAACAATTTTTATTGCCTTTCGATTTCATTGCGGTCTATGCGAGATGCTGCGTTCTGTCGGCCTTTTTTTTTTTTTAATCGTTAGTGTTTGATCGCGGATGGCAGCGTTTATGAGACAGTGTCAACGGCGGTGGTTAATGATGTGGGGTTGGAGGCGGGCGTCGCCCTGCATCATCCCGTCACGCCACATTGAGCATCATTGTCCGCTGGTAAAGTCGTCATTTTATCGCTCAGGGAATTGTGTGCGTGTGGGCATGCGGACGTGAGCTCTGGTCCTCTTTCCATTTTCCTTTTTTATTATTTCGCCGCGTGAAAAGTGACCGCTTCCGCTTCGCGGATGGGAGAATGTAATAGGGAGATGCGAGAGCGTTATTGATGGGGAAATCGGGGTCAGGGTCGGGGGCTATCGATCAAGCATCTCCGATATTACAATCTCGAGGGGGCAAGACCGGTTGGTCATGAGAGAAGAAATTAGCTCTGCCGAAAATACATTTGTTCCGCTTGAAAATATGATAATTCTGTCGGATAATGGAAGATATGATTTTGTGATTTTAATAATAAATAAAAATAATTTGTGGCCTAGATCTGTTTGACCTCCCACTGAATGAAAAATATCTATCATCGGCAGGGGACAAATGAATAATATAATCAATAATAATGAAAGTCTGAGATGAAATTGTGCAGCGGTATTTTAGCTGAGAGAATGGTTCTTCTGATAATTCAAAAATATCACCAGACCTAAAAATCCCACCTCAAACTTCTCCTTTAATGATAATTTTTCACTTTCTACTGAATGTTCAATATTATTATTTATCATGATATTAAAAAAAAAACTGTAAACAGGAAAAATTTCACGAATCGTGTTCACGTAAATTTTCCGTATTTCCGCGGTCGATTTTCGATTTTTCTTTTCGATTTTTCTCTCGGGGTGAAAAAATCCAGCGTGATTATCTCGATGCTTTAATTATTACCCAAATATTTTTGTAATGAAATATTTTGTCGGGTGAAATATGGCACGCTCCATGCGTCGGCTAACGAGGGTAGATGATTTTTCTGCAATTCACCCTTCGCTACTCTCGATTATCTCTGCACCGTTAAGGCATTCATCGTTGGGTACACGTTTGGCGCTAAACGGTACCCCTGATGCAATATCCCCGAAGGATGATTTGCACAAACCACTGAGTCGAGTTGATAAAAATAAAAAGAAAACGAGGCTTATCAGACGATTTGTATGTCTGTCCGGATAATCACAGCGTGACGGATATTTCTTTGTGAGGGATTTGGCAGTTGGCCGAGAGCAAAGTTTGATTAGTTTGAAGAGCTTTTTCTTCAACTTCACCTCCCGCGTTTGTTTTCACAGCATTAATTACTTTTAGTCGAGTCTGGGGGGGCTCAATGGTCTTTTGTGAGGGAACGGGTAAATTTGACGTCTAAAGTTTTGTGACGGATGAAATATTTTCTCTGGCTAAAGTCATGCATCACGATGGGCTAAATTATGAATGAATAATTATCCTGGGAAATTAGCTGTTGGGGTAATTGCGCGGAAATGGTATACTGCGAATAGTCTTCATTTTCATTTTCGATGGTGACGGAACGCACGATTTGCAGAACTTTAGAATTGGAATTATGAATCTCGCACAATCTATTTGGATTTTATTAATTAATTTTATATTTAATTAAGTTTATTCATTAATTAGCGGCGGCGATTGCTGGGTAACAATTTATTGAATAAATTACAAAATGCGTGTTTACATGACTGTCGATTTTTATTTAGCATTTTTTTTGTGCAAAAATTGAATATCAATTTTTTTTGGTACAATTCGTTTTTGAGAATTTCAATAAAAAAAATGATCTTTCGGGAAATTGTGTATCTCGAAAAATTCTCGGCGGATCGACCTGAAATTTTTCATAGATCTGCCCCCAAGTAATACCCATTATTCCACAAAATTTCAGATTTTTAGTTTAGATCCCACTATTTTTAATAATTTTTTCACTAATTTCTTCATTATAATTTTATTAAAAATCGTGAAGATGATGGATTACAAAGCTTCCACTCAAGCCTAAAGCCCCAAAATAACAAAAGTATTCCTGATATCTCCATTTTCTTCACCCCTCCCCCCTCTTCACTTCAATTGCTGTATAATTTCCAGTGGAATACTATTTTTGATAGGAGAGATCCACAAACCAAGAAAACCGAACAATCTCCACTAAATTCAGTTGCTCTGACGAAAAATCCAAGAGTATTTCATCATTTTTTAACATCGCGTTAATCTCAGTACTCCAGAGTAATCGTCGTTTGTAATTTAGGTATACGAAATGAAAAAAAAAAAAGAGGTGACATGAGTTTCGTCGGAATGCATAAGTATGTAAAGTGAAAGAGGGGGTTGTGGGACGAGTGGGACCACCCGGTGTGCCAGGTATCTGAATTAATTATTTGTTTTAATATAAAATCCGCGGGGTGTGATTTAGTTGGGCCCGCCACGGGGGCAAGTGGCCGACCGAGCGCATAAACCAGTCGACGTCGTGTTGTTTTCCAAAGGGAGGAGATGTATGTGTAAAGCCGGGGTAACAAGTTACCTTATATACCCATATAAGTGTATGTAGAGGTAATTGTCCATCCCTCTTGGGTGCGTGTGCGTCAAAAAAACGCGAGAGACCGCGTGCGGCACGACGCGCCGTACAAAAGGGCAAAATTGAAGAAACAAGAAGGGAAAATAACAAATAGAGGTGGAGAGGAGAGGGGGATTGTACGGGAAAAAAAAAATTGAGGGAAAAAAAATGGGGGGGACGGAGAGAGAAAAAGGAGGAGGACACAATATCCGGCGGTTTGCGTGCTTGAAAATTGCGCCGACTCTCCCAGCGGGTGCATTCTCGCGTCTTCTCCAAGTGCTCTTCGTGCATGTTCCAACCACCCAAAAAACGCATCTCCTGAAAATTCAAGAGCCCCAACATCCCGCTGAGAAACCACTGAAATTTTTACAGTTAATAAGTATGGATTATTCAGTCATTAATTATCGTTGTTAGGGTGCGGTTAAAATTGGGGGTTAAAGGGCTCTTAATCGTAGGCATTAATGGCTTCATTAAGACTTTAGGATTTTGGTATTCTT